CAATCTGTCTGCATGTAGTGCTGTGATTGTGTCATCTACGTAGCGAAACCAAAAAGGTAGTGCATGTTTGTAAGTCATGAGTGCCCGTTCCTCTATAGATTTGCATTACAATTTCAGCCCATAAACAGAAACGGCTAGCCCATTGCTGTCCCATGTAATTGTTTGTAGTGTGTTCCTTTGTATTGAAGTAAGTCGAGGTGAGGCAGAGCTCTAAACTCCATAATGTCTTCTGTCGGTAATGGCAGTACGTCCGTTGTTTGTAATGAGGGTTTTGTACAAGGGTGCCAGATTAAGTGGAATACTGGTGAACAGTGATTTCACATCAAAAGACACTAGTATATAGTTGTCTGGTATTTGTATAGTGCACAGTTTTTAATGAAAGTTTCAGTGGATTGTAGCTTGTGTTTTGATTTGTTTGTTAGTGGTTGCAGTATGTTAGTCAAGTACTTTGAAAGTTCGTAAGCAGGCGAACTACAGAATGATACAATTGGTCGCATGGGTATTTGTGGTTTGTGAAGTTTTGTAGTCCGTATAGTCTGGGTGGTCGTGTACTGAACATCTGAGTCGATAGTAAATACGTTCAGATATAATGTTAGATTTTCATAGAGAAGATCTTGCTGTTAAGTTTGCGTACTAGTGATGGTGTTGGGTCTCGTTTGAGTTGTTCGTACGTTTGTCTGTCGTTACAAGTGCGTCCATTTTGTTAAAGTAATCATTCCGGTCCATGACCACAGTCACGCGTCCTTTGTCTGCTGGTAAAATGACGATGTTGTTGTCGTGTTTTAGTCGTTTGAGTGCTTGTTGTTCGTCTGTCAAGTTGTTGTCACGTATAGAGGACGATTGTAAAGTGGAGGCTATCCTGCTTTGATCTCGTCTTTTGTTGTCTCTGACAAGTCTCTTTGATACGCTAGGACAGCCTCGACACTTGATACTATCGTCTCAGTCGGATTTGTCTAGTGTTATGGAATGTTTTAGTCCGTAAGATAGTAGTCGCGTTTCAGTTTCGTCTAATGGGCGGGAAGAAATATTTCTCACCCAGTTATCGTCATGTTTATGTCTTGCACGTGTTTTAGTTTGTTTTAAACGTTCAAGTTTTTGTTGTTGTTTGATTTGGTGTTGTGTCTCTGTCTTGTTTGCTCGTGTCTCTGTCTTGTTTGCTCGTCTCTGTCTTGTTTGCTCGATTTGGTGTTGTGTCTCTGTCTTGTTTGCTCGTTTGCTCGTTTGCTCCGACTGCCACGCCTCCTATATCGGGGAAACTGGCAGGAACTTAAACATAAGACTTACTGAGCACAAACGAGCTACTAAGAAACAAGACAAAACTAATCACATTGCCGAACATCACCGAATCACAAAGCACAACATTGACTGGGACTCGGCAAAATGCATCACTTACAGTACTGACTATAGACAACGGCTTACATTAGAAAGTTGGTATACCAACTTGAAACAAACCCCCCTGAACAGATCACAGCAAATACCGGCACCTTACAAACGACTTATTCACAATACAAACAAACGATCAACTAAAAACATTACACTTCAAACTAATTCACAATGACAATACACAATTGACACCCACACACTACAACTAAAAACGTCACACCTAAATCACACATCACAACTAAAAATAAAATATTTCACTTCACACTAATCCACAATGACAATACACATTTCCTGTACACACAATACAATGACGTAAGAACCAGACAACAAATACGGCTAACCTGACGTTTACTCCTCATTTGACTCTGAAGATGACTACCGCTAAGGTTGTCGAAACGTCAGTCAACAACATCAAAAACAGTCCTTCTCAGGACTTTATTAACCTGGACGATCATCATTTACAAACATATAACGATACTCCCGGGTTCAAACCATTTACTTTAGTCAATATATGCATGGACTGTTTTGCACAAAATGCTAGATCATCACCATTTTCAAACATTTCGGTACCAGCTCTGCATATAAGTAAAGTCGCATAATCAAATTCGTGTATTTGATGTAAAAGTCTCAAGTCTACTGTTTACTTATTTTTAGGTCGGTACAAACATACCCAAATATTTAGAAACAGCCTCAAGATGGCCGTTTGTTTTAGCAATTGGTAGTCGATGCAGCCCAACGCAAGTGTTCGTTATAATCGAAAACCAGGGCTTGGAGCAGCCTAATCTTGTGAGGGCAATTGATGTTTGCTTTAAACTATTTTACGTACTTGATGTTAATTACCCATGGCAGAGCTGTTCGTCGTGGGAGTTCATACAAAAGGTTTTGTATGGCATTGAGGACAATGGAAAACAGAAGACAACATCTGCTGTTGTTGCAATGAGAGCAGTATTAAAGTAATCAGACCATTGACGCTAAAAATATATTGATATAAATCTAAACTTCTCAAGCTATTACATGTACGTGTTGTTAATATACATGATACTTGTCTATCTTCTGTTTTTAGTTTTTACTAAATGTAAGTTCTGTCCGTGCAATGTTTTTTTCTTAAATAAATATACTTTTTTAGCATAAATACACTCTCTCAATGAATCACAAAGAATCGCCCAGGAATTTAACAAGGCAACTAGTTAATTTTAACTGGGACGAGTGTCAAAATTTTAACATTAGGTCGTGGTTGAATTTAACCAGAATAATGGTTAATAAATTTAACCCCGATTCCTTGTTAAAATAACCAGGATTGCGTCGGTCCCATTTGGAATACTTTCCTGGTTAAAATTTAACCCCATCCTGGTTATTTTTAACCAGGATGTTTTTAGAGTGTATTGTCATAAGCATATAAGCACCATGTACGTAGACTGTTGACAGACTTCTCAGTCTCAGTGACGTCTGTAAATTTGATGACATTGTGTGAACATGGATTTTAATGTCGTGCAGCACACTCATAAAGTAAAGATCAGTAAAGATTAAGCTTGAAAACTTACTTCAATTTATATGGTAGTAATCAATAAAGAAGTTTTTTTGCATATCGTTTGAAAAAGTGATGTGCAATTGTTTTCATTTTAGCGAAAACGATGTGCAAATTGCACATCGCACACTGCTTATATTCATCTAATGGGAAGGAAATATTATCGGTAATACTTAGATTTACTAAATCGTTATTCTAGCCATCAATGTTCTCTTTTTTGGCATCCTCATTCACACCAAATTGTTCCATGAATGTTAGCAATATCAAAGAATTTCTTTCACATTTGGAATCATACCTAAAACCTGGAGCTAAATATATAGCTGGGGTTAGTACAATCATGTATCACTAGCATTGCTTGACTTGTGAAATAGTGTTTTTTCTTTGTGTTTGTTTGGATGATTGTTGATGCCATATGTAGCTCATCAAACAAGTTGTCCTTGTCTAACTTCATTGGGAACATTTAATTTTGATCATTTGTGTCAGAGATTAATCAAATTGTAAAATGTAGATGTAGGGTGTTGCCAAGAATTAATGCTGTGATTATTCATCCATGGTTAGATAAACCATTCAAATATTGTTACTATATTTCCTGCCATTAGAATATTTGTTATATATGTGCCATTAGTATAGGAAAGGGTAAGACAAGGGTGCGAATGCTTTTCGACTCGGGAAGTCAGAAATCCTTTGTGACGTGTGACGGGAAGAGCAGTGGCGTGCGGTGACCGAATTTAATAGGCATGCGCTGGGGGTGAGGTTCGCGGCTTGCCGCGAGTGACCTATCTAGGGGTTCTGGGGGCATGCTCCCCCAGAAAATTTTTGGATTTTGAACGCTACTGGAGCGCATTTCTCGCGATTTCTGGGAGTACTTTGTCGAAAAAAATGTATCTGTCATGACTGAAACAGTATTGAAAAAATCTAAAAAACTCAAAAACATTTATAGAGTATATATCACAATTACGGTTTAAAAGTATTACATGTGGTATTGTGATATAAAGTCGTTTTAAGTAAATGGCTACGCGTGCATTTCTATTGTAGTGAAGAAGTAACAGAACGAAATAGTCCAAAATCCTACAACAGATTTACTTAAATGTAAATTCCATCCGTCTTTCCTTTGCGCAAAACTCCTTTATAACGTCCTCATAGAATCGTGGCTTCCCCTGCAAACTTACCAACATCTCCTTCTCGGTTGAAATTGTAGCCAATGCAGAAAGTCGCTCTTGCCCTTGTGTACTGCGAAGATACGTTTTGATACGCTTGAGAGCCGAAAATGATCTTTCTGCAGAGGAGGACGTACTTGGCATAGTAAGAATGAGCTGACACAATCGGTACACCTCTGGAAAACAGGCTTTCAAGTCAAGTTCGATTATTTTTGATATCATATCAAAAACAGGTTTCGATTTGAGCTCGGCAGATGCGTATACAACGATTAGTTTACTTTTTAGTGCTTGAAGATTAAAGAATGTTCCATATGAATCTTGCAACGATTGCAGCTCTCGTTCGGGAAAATTCCGGCTGTACAATTCGTGCTTTGAATGATCAAACAAAGAAACGAATGCTCTGCTGTTAAGACTTTCGAATCTAGAGTCAATCTGCACGACAATGCTATCGACTACACAGAAAAACATTTGACGGAAGGACGCCTTTACATCCTCTTCACTTTGCCCGCGTTTCAGTGCTACTTTGACGATACTTGACGTAAAATTCCAATAATCTACGAATTTTGTTCGTTGTTCTTGAATCTTATCTTTCGTAAAAAAAAAAATCTTTGTGCATGTTTTTTTCGTTTCGTCGCCCCCATCGCGGTGCTAAAATATTTCAACGGAAAGTAGTAGAGTCGAATGCGCTGATTTCAAATATCTTTGTTCCCACACGCCAAAACGCGCTGTTTTTTCACAATGTATAACCAAACTTGGATATTTTGATCGACTAAGCGCCATCTTAAATTCCGCGGTGTGTTTGATCTTTTGACATTATTACTTGAAGTACGCGCAATGCTGAAGTATTTATAAGGATAATTATTAAATTAAATCGTTATTAACTCTGACTGTTTTCTGAGAACAATTCTGCAAGTCCCAAAGAGCAAATCAAGAGAATGGATGAATGTTTCATTCATTTTAATGGTAAGTCAGGCGAATTGTGTCAATTAACGGCACATACAATCGATAAAATAAGTGAATATTCTGAAAAGTGGATTCATTTGGATGGGGAACCTAATAAAATTGCGTCAAGCGTTTCCAAACGAGTCAAACGTTGGTCGCTCGGTCCAGACAGAGAGACAGTGCGAGAAGAAATTGCAAATGTGCGTTTTCATAAGGAATACACCAAACTTCATATTGCAATGCAATGATCACATGTCAAGTAAAAGGGTGTTAATAATATGCTCTCATATTCTTCCGTCATAACTCAAGTGTAAGTAATTAATGAATATTTTTGAGAGATACTTATGTGTAATCATGACAATATTTTTTACAGTTCCTAGTAGTTTCCGTTATTGTAAATCAACCATATTTCGCAAAGAAACAAATATAACTTATTAACTTTACGTATAATACCTTGTAAGAATAGAAGTAGTTAAACCATTGTAAAATAGACGTTGAACATTAAATGTAATCGTATAGTTATCTGTGATATCTCTATTTGTTAGTGTATGTCAAACTATACTAAGCAACATCTGGCTACATCAAAAACCTTTTTTTAATGAACTACGCTTACCGTTTTAGCACATGCCGTTTTTAATGAACTACGCTTACCGGATTTCCACTTGCAAAAAGCATTCGCGCGAATCGAATCGTCTTCGATCGATTTTCTTTTTGAAGTTGAACTAACCACGATGGAAATATAGATAAAAAACATTTTGCAGGCCAACTTTACACATTGGTTGTACATGAAAAAGCATAAAAATATGTTGATTGTATGTTCCCATTTCAGCACAGCTTTCATTTGGTCGTCTCAGGATAAATATTTCAACTTTTCAAGTAATAACGCCAAGATTTTTAAGTTGTACATTGCTACCCTTCTTTAGTGTAGCAAGTTTATCTTGCTGCCAACATGGCGGAAGTGGCGCATGTGCATTAAAATTTAGGACCGCATTTTTCGCGAAGTGGCCCTTCTGTATGTATCTATTCTGTGACACTAGGAACTTTTTTCGATCACACTTGTCACGAATAACAAATACGCGCGGCAAGTTTACCAGTGTGCGGCGGGCTTAAGATAGCACAACTAAATCGTTGGATTATTAATTCAGCTTACATGCACATGCATCAAAAACATCGGTATGTAAAATTTGTAAATAAAGTTTTGTGAATTATAAATATATTGTGAATTATAAGCCACTTGTGAATTATAAATATATTGTATGATGATTCGCGCGCAATGGATTTGGCACGAATTTTAGTTACTCATATCTCTTTTAACTTTGAACAGGTTTAAAACCTAAGATACAGTCATGGCAATGCAAATGGGATTCTCCCCCTTTCGCACAATCTGCGCGAAGTGCTGGTTCACTGTTCTAAAACTTCACACTAACGATGGGACTGTATTTTGAATATATAATTTTAACACTTCAATAAGATATTTACAGTGTTGTGCACGATTTTCCGTTCCAAGCGTTGGTTCTTCGCGATACGGAATGATTAAATTGATCTCGTTAAGATTACGGACAACCGTCAATCCTACAACTGCGTTTTCGAATTTATTGCCTTCTGCAATACAACTATAATTCATCAATTTTGTATGACCAGTTCATACACCAACAACTACAACTTTTCCGAACTCCCGAACCAACGCTTGCAAGCTCTTATTTATATTATAATTATTAGGATATAATTTTTGGGCGTTTGCATGACTTGCACTACGCCATTCCGTTTATAGAGTACCGTCATTACCTACATCCTACCGCAATGCCACATTGGGTAGAAAAGTGTTCCTAAGTATTTTAAATTTACGTACAGGATTTCCACTGAAACCACAGTTTAATAACTATATACGTATTTTCCTATTTGTCTAGTAATATATGACTTAACATTTTACATAAACATAATATCCGTTATCTTAGTATCAAAAATATGACACAGTCACACTCTACATAACATAACATGACAATTTACAACACCCCCGAAGAGGTTTTCATTATTCCTCACCACATATTACAGAATACGATAATGAAGTTTGCGAAGTAAATAATATTGGCGTATCGTGTCCTACTGGCGATATCTGGATGAAATTTGAAGTATTGACTCCGTCACTTTCTCCATGTCGGGATAGTAGTTGTCCATCATCTCCTGTGTGCCTAAGTTCGAGCTCCATTGACACATTACAATGTGTCTCCGATATCATAGATGGGGATAACTGCCGAACATTTGTAACTTCAATGTTTGCAGACGGTCTTTTAGAGCTCAATGGTAGCAAAAGTGAAGCCTAATTATATATGCAAAATTCACTTCCGGTTACCACGGCGAGGTACAAATTACAATAGAAATGTATGGCGGATAACGTTTACAAACATGGATTTTCGAATATTTAAGACCTTTCGCGACTCCTTACTAACCTCAAGTATTAGTCATGGATAAAACAGGTTATGCGAATCGATTTGACATCAAAATGATTCCTATAGCTGTAAAATATCGACATTAGTGTTGATTTAAAAGTTGTACATGCGAGAATGTATTTTGTCCCATCGTTGCCAATGCAAGATAGTTCACTGCTCGCTTTCCATTTTCTGAGGCAGTTATGATCTAGTATACGTTTCAGTTCTTTGGAAATGAGGTGAGTTACTTTTTTTATCATTCTTTCTTTATGTTGAGAGATTGTTGACATTTTATTTTTGCTGTAACTTCATTTTTTGGAAATGAGGTGAGTTACTTTTTTTATCATTCTTTCTTTATGTTGAGAGATTGTTGACATTTTATTTTTGCTGTAACTTCATTGAGACAAAATACATTCTCGCATGTACAACTTTTAAATCAACACTAACGTCGATATTTTACAGCTATAGGAATCATTTTGATGTCAAATCGATTCGCATAACCTGTTTTATCCATGAATAATACTTGAGGTTAGTAAGTTACTTGAGTGGCGAAAGGTCTTAAATATTCGAAAATCCATGTTTGTAAACGTTATCCGCCATACATTTCTATAGTAATTTGTATCTCGCCGTGGTACTCGGAAGTGAATTTTGCATATATAATTAGGCTTCACTTTTGCTACCTGTAGAAGCTGTATCCAGTCTATTATCAGATCAGTGGTTATGTTGCTGAAATAATTAAATAGACGAAAGAGGACCTTGTTGAAATAGATAGGAAGTCGAGAGAGATTATGATAATGAATAATAAATTATACCAAAGAAGCGATGTTTCCAGAATGTGTATGTAGCGAGAAAGAAGAGAGAAAAAGTTTTCATCAGTTGCGAGAGCTGTGAAAGAAAAGAAGAAAACCATGTTACATGTTATATATATAGCTTATTCAACTTTAAGGCCTACATTCAGCATTCAACTTTATATCTTGTTGATAAAGAGGAAGTAAGAATAGTTATGAATAATTATTTACAGTTGATTAAGGTGTTATAAAATGTTCGTGTTAGGTTTTTTTTTGGAGGTTTTTTTCTTTATAACACCTGACACAAACATTTTATTGCACTTTAATCAACTGTAAATAATTCTTCACGACTATTCTATACTTCGCGTTACTATATATATAATAAGTACACATTATCATGTAAATTTCCTATTGATTCACCTCGCACTGAAGATGGCATAAAGTATGCCGAAACATGTTTGCTTTGAAGAAATTTGTCGTTTATTTTAAATGTCTTATGACTGTTGCGCTTTTACGAAATTGTGGCATTTCTCTTTTAAAATATGAAAACGAACTTGAGCTTAACTGCGTTTAAATTTAGTTGGGACTATCTAAGGACTATTTCAAACGTCGTATTTTGCATGTGCCGAATGAATTTAAAACAAAAGATAACGAGGAATTCTATCTCATTTCCTTCTGTTTTAGATGCATTCGGCTCATGTAAAATGCGAAGTTTGAAACGGGCCAAATGTTGTAGATTCTTATGCATTAGAAGTGTTCACCATTTAAAATAAATAAGACGTGCAATTTATTGTTGCCTCTAGAAACTAAAGCCACACCAAAACCTACACAATCTACAACACCAACTGAAAATATCCTGTTGATCGCCATCATATGTGTGACAATTCCTTTAATTGCTATCAGTGTGATCGTGGAGGCAAGCGTGTGTTTGCCAAACTTTGGGTACCCGAAGGTTTTTCCACGCGTAACGTACGGCAGCGTTCACAACTTCATGCTCCGATCGGAGAGGATTCGGCCGATAAGAAGTATGTTCTTCTTTATAGATAAATGTATTATAGTAATTAAAGGCATTGGTCAGTGTCACCGTAATCTGTGAAACCAAAATTGGAGATAGTTCTGTTTGTTGAAACTGCTTGTATTTAGTAGATATCGTGAAAACGCACAGTAAAACAACATTCACAAGCGGAACATTGTATAAAAATGGCAAAACTTAAGCTTGGTTCACACGAGTGAAATAAGGATAGGCACAAGCGTAGGCAAAAGATAAAACGGAAATAATTAACGAAGCACTCGACATAAGCGCAAGCATAAGAAAAAAATTCAAACATAAGCCAAGAGAACGAAAAAAGAACATAAAGAAGATTTAAAGAAAATCCCAATGTCTTTGTCTTTATAAACCTCTAGTGCAATAGAAACGTCGTCTATAGTCTCGACGTTCGTGCTTATCTTCCTCGTGTGAACCTGGCTTAAATCGGCATGGCTTCGCTTCCAGGGGGGGGATCCGGCGTTTGTCAAAATAAATTGTAACTGCTCGATTTAAAATTCAAATTACTTTCAGAAAAACACCATTGGCTTTAAATTTCTAAAGAATAAAAAATTTACCAATGAACTTGTGTGTAAGGGCTTAGGAATGTAAATATATCCAAAAATGTGCTTCAGTAAAAGTATTATAGTTTTACTGTATCATAACAGATTGTCTGCAAGTTAAACAAAATACATCAGTAATATTTATGCGAAGAAATAGCACAGTTTTTTTCGATTAATTTTACCACAGCAGCTATTTTAATTGACCAAAAAATTGGAGTGTCTCGTTTTACTGCTTATGGACAAATAGTGCCTTACAAAAAAGGCTGATGTTAGCGTTCTACCTGAAGATTTAACCAACAATAATACAACATATGTCTTGTGTTTACTTAACAGCTCAATAAGCAAAACAAGTTCCTCCGAAGAGGTTACTGAAGATGCTTGCCCTGGGCGAGTTTGTCCGCCAAAGCGCATGAAGCTTATTGATTCTGACGGTCCATTGAGGATTGCGAATCGACCAGATAATAGGCAATGGACGACATTACACAAGGAGGTTGCAAACGTGAATAACAGGACGGTTTCGAGTCTTTCCGTGCTTACACCTCCCCAAGAAGGTCAAGAAAGCACAGCAGCGCAGAACTCTAACGTTAATGCAGTTGGTCCGGGTGGAATCACCCCCCTGATGTTGGCTGCATCACGTGGCAGTTACCTCGATGAAGTTTATAAAGAAGAAAATAGTGATGATGACAGTGGATCACAGGTAACGTTTTCTGTACATTATAGCTACGAAAACAAACTACAAAAAGACTTTCTTCAATATTTCCTTGCTAATGTACAATTTGGGAATAATATTTGTCTATTTTCTGTTCGACAAACCACAAAGTGTAGTACTTTACAGCGTGGTTTCTTGCTGCGTTATAAAATGATCTGTTTGAAAAATGTTAGGTTGTTGGGGAGCTGATACAATACGGCGCTTGCTTGGAATTGAGATCAGATGAATTTAAGGAAACGGCATTGCATCTTGCCGCCAGACACGTACGCGCAGATGCTGCAAAAAGACTCCTGGATGCTGGGGCTGATGCAAATGCCCGTGATAGAACGGGTAGAACTCCCCTACATTTAGCTGTTACTGCAGACTCTCAAGGAGTGTTTCAGGTATGCTGGGGCTGATGCAAATGCCCGTGATATAACGGGTAGAATTCCCCTAAATTTAGCTGTTACTTCAGACGCTCAAAGAGTGTTTCAGGTAAGGTGATTGTGCTTCAACTGGGTCTCATGCAAGTTAACTCGAGTATATTTGGTGAATATTACACCCGTCGCCCAGCAATTGGTAATGTCGTATGAAAAGACAACTTAAGCTTTATTGTGAACAACTGTTTGAATACACACGAACTCACTACGTTGATCCTATACGTATATGTTTCTCTCCCTTCGCTCACCTCGAACTCTCAACAACAACAACATCTCTCGAAATTTAGCCAAGTCTTTTGGTTAACTTATTTATTGTAAGTAAGGAGAATTTGTCTCTCTGAGTAGCAACATTGAAATAATATTATTAATTGCAACACATAAGCATGGATGATAAGCTGGTCTACTCTTGTCAAACTCTATTCGTATAAACATGTGCATCTTTTCTCTTTTTTAACTTATTGTTGTGTGTGCATGTGTTTCAGCTGCTACTACGACATCGCACGACAGAGCTCGACGCTCAGTCCGATGATGGAACGACTCCTTTGATCTATGCCGCTCGGTTTATGGTTCATGACATGGTCGATGAACTGATCAAAGCTGGAGCGAAAGTAAATCTTAGTGATAAACAAGGTATGCAGTTAGCCAGTGTTTTTTTTTAACTGTTGCGATGAGATTTCAACACTTTCGTCTTGTTTTAGGCAAGACAGCTTTGCATTGGGCTGCTTCTGTCGATGACGAAAAAGCTACGCGGCTTCTTCTAAAAAATAACGCGAAGAAAGATGCCCAGGATTCCAAAGTATGTTTATGGCAACTGTTGTTTTTGTTGTGAAAATTTTTTGTTTTGTTAATTACCATTGGTCAAAGTCAAGACCAATACCAATGTTCATAGTCGATTCTAATGATGAAACCAATCACTGTGAATGTAGCTGTTCAATACTAATGATAATGGTAAAGTCAATGATTTTAGCAAATGCTAATTGTCTTGAAGGAAATGTTAATATTAGCAGAATAAAATCCTGGCTGTTCGTTTTGATTTATTACCGACTCAAGTCTTGCTACATTATTATTTCCATGTTTATTTAAGTTATACTATTTTTGACAGGGTCAGACTCCACTTTTTCTTGCTTCCAAAGAAGGAAGCGCTTCAGTTGTGAAAATACTTCTTTCATCGTTTGCCAACCGCAAGCTTGCTGATAACATGGATCAATCTCCATTGGACATTGCTAAGCAACGAGAGCACGCTGATATCGTGGCACTCCTCTCTGATTGGTCTAATGGTTGTAAGTCACCGACTGTCGCTCCCGCGCCTACGTCACCAAATGAAGACATGTCGACCCCGGCATGCAGAACGTTATCTCCACCCGATGTCAGGCCTAAGATAAACGGCAACCCAGGAATAGTCGGGCGGGCAGGTGCAAGCTCGAAGCCTTGCAAGAAGAGACAACGAAGGTTGAGGAATATTGCCGAAAGTCAACCACCAGTTCAGGTTGCCATGTTAAATGGTAGTACTGACAATAGTACATCATCACCTCATGGTTTATCACCTTTCAGTAATAACAGTTGCGGAGGCAGTCTTAGTCCACCTAACTCGGACTTTTCACCTCCATTACGTCATATGGACAGCATGACGTCACCGTTTCGAGAATCGGATCCACTTCACGGTGGAATCCCAGACGCGGAATTCTACTCTTGCGGAGAAGATATACGGAAGCACTCATTCCGGTGAAGAAAATTTCAATCCGGAGTTTTTGAACTTTGAAAATAATCTTGATATTGTGGATTTCGAGCTTATGTTGAATAGCCAACCGGCACAGCAAATAAATACAAATCAAGACTGTTTGTATGCAAATCAGAGTCCACCGGGGAATGTACTTCTCAACGGAGTGAATAATCCGATGTGCATGCGTCAAAAGTCCCCTGTAGCTCCAAAAACATATGTACGATCTCCTTCTGAAATAGCTGCGTGGAATTCAATGTCAAGTAACAATGCGCCTTTAGTCTATGATAAGGAAAATTTTGAAATCCTCTTATCGAGAAAAGAAGGAAAGAAATGTTTTCGTTCAAAGTTTTATAATCACGCGCGTTTTGTTCCGGTTTTGTATAATTTTGTTATGGAGTTTTTATAATATGCCGCAGTTTATGAATGTAATGAGCAACCAACTTTATTGGTAATTGACGTTGTAGAGATGGATCTTAGTTCTATGAACGAGATAATATATTTTGGTTGTGTTTTTTATGTTGATGTTTAATATGTATATATTTAATGATTTTGATACAAGCGTCCTTTTATTGATCATAATCTCAAGAGCGCTTGCTTTTTTAAAAAATATTTTTATGCAAGTACATACCATGGTTCTGAGAGTCAACGACTATTCATGACTTTGGTTTGCGACAAGTTATTTCGACGTGTTTGTCATTTTGAAAGAACATTTAGAACTACTTTATATGTAAAGTAAATTCGTATAATAGGCTTTGTGAGTTTAGTGTGAGCCTTGTGGTCGATAAGTTTAAAATCTATTTGTATAGAGCTCGTCATTATTTTATACAAGTTGCTATTATTCGTCAACATCTCGCCATTATCTACGAGAAGGAGCAATGTTGGAAAGAGGCAGCAGGCATTCTAGCAGCCATCCCACTTGAAAAGGGACAAAAGTAAGTGATTAAAAAATCATGTTCGACTCACACGGAACTAAACTTCTTTTCAATATTTTTAAAGCGACATTTGAATTTTTCAAATTTGATGTGCATTTTGCAATTTTAATGTGATTTTCAAATTGCATGTCACCAAATTTAGGAATGTTGGAAAAGGGTTCTGGGTGAAGTGTTAATAGATATTTTCCTTTGGGCAGTTTATTTTGTTAGCTTATGGGAAGAAAATTTTCAATTGCTATTCAGTTCTTATCGATGCCATCAGACCTTACTTGTTGTTTTTTATCAATATTTTAGTAATATACATGGCGTATGAATGACTGATAGCAATGGCTTTCTCCTAGGAATATCATCATGATTCAGATCTCAGGAAGCTTAATCATTCATACATCAATTTCACAATTATTTTTTCATCCATAGAATTTCATCATTTTATGAGGTTATATCGATAGTTTGGCTATTGGAAGATCATGTTTAAATTTCTGTTGTATTGCATTTTTTTCAGACAGTACTCTCTGAATTATAAACTGGAAACGTATTTGAAGATTGCGCAACTGTATCTGGAGGATGAGGACTCTGTGAATGCCGAAGCATATATCAACCGAGCATCGATTATCCAAGCAGACACAACAAGTGTTCGTCTTCAAATTTTATACAAGGTTGGATTCGTCGATTCCCGAGCATAATGTTGACATTTTTAGGGATTTTATAGAAATCTGCTGCAATGAAATGCCTAACACTTCATTGTTGTCTGTGGAGGGAGTTGTATGGCAATAAAAAACCAAGTTAGTAGGTAATGCAAAAAATACGTCCGTTGGCCGCTATTTTTTTGGCGTCCTCGCCCCAGTAAAGTTAGCCGCTCCAGTTATTATAGAACTCAATGGAGGGGCTCTTCTGTACAGTATAAATTCTGTGGTAAAATCATCAAAACAAAAACTTGATGAAAGAAATTGGAAATTTGCCCAATATTTTGTAGATGTTTTGGAAAGATTTTGCCACTATAAACTTGCAACTAAAGTACTTTATGAAATAACAGAAATTCAAACAAAAGTGTTAGGTGTTGATCACATTGATGTTTCATATTCGTACAACGAGCTGGTTTCCTTGCTTTTGAAGAATGGAGAATATGAAAATGCTAAAGATTTTCTCGAGCGAGCAATGCGAATTCAAGCAAAAAATTTTGGACCTGACCATGTGAATATTTGCGACAATGTACAACAATCTGGGTTGGTTTTACAAAGATATGGGAGAATACGAAAAAGCAAGAGATTTTTACGAACGAGTTATAGAAATTGAAACAAAAGCATTTGGACCTGATTATGTTAATATTGCGACAATGTACAACAATCTGGGTTCGGTTTACAAAGATATTGGAGAGTACGAAAAAGCAAAAGATTTTTATGAACGAGGGATAGAAATTCAACCAAAACAATTGGAACTGACCATGTTAATGTTGCGACAACGTACAACAATCTGGGTTCGGTTCACGATTGTATGGGAGAGTACGAAAAAGCAAAAGATTATTATGAACGAGCGATAGAAATTCAAACGAAAGCATTTGGACCTGACCATGTTAATATTGCGACAACGTACAACAATCTGGGTTTAGTTTACAGAAATATATGGGAGAGTACGAAAAAGCAAAAGATTATTATGAACGAGCGATAGAAATTGAAACGAAAGCATTCGTACCTGACCATGTTAATATTGCGACAACGTACAACAATCTGGGTTTAGTTTACAGAGATATGGGAAAGTATAAAAAAGCAAAAGATTTTTATGAACGAGCGATAGAAATTCAAACAAAAGCATTTGGACCTAACCATGTTAATATTGCGACAACGTACAACAATCAGGGTTCGGTTTACGATAATATGGGAGATTACGAAAAAGCAAAAGATTTTTATGAGCGAGCGATGGAAATTCAAACTAAAGCATTTGGACCTGACCATGTTGATATTTCAAAATTGTACAACAATCTGGGTTCGGCTTACAAAAATATGAGAAAGTACGAAAAAAAGTTTTTATGAACGAGCGATAGAAATTCAAACGAAAACATTTGGACCTGAACATGTTAATATTGCGACAATGTACAACAATCTGGGTTTGGTTTACAGTATGATGGGAGAGTACGAAAAAGCAAAATATTTTTATGAACGAGCGATAGAAATTCAAACAAAAGCATTTGGACCTAACCATGTGAATATTGCGACAACGTACAGCAGTCTGGGTTTAGTTTACAGAAATATGGGAGAGTACGAAAAAGCAAAAGATTTTTATGAACGAGCGATAAAAATTCAAACGAAAACATTTGGACCTGACCATGTTAATATTGCGACAATATACAACAATCTGGGTTTGGTTTACAGTAAAATGGGAGAGTACGAAAAAGCAAAAGAATTTTTTGAACGAGCGAAAGAAATTGAAACGAAAGCATTTGGACCTGAACATGTACTGCAATAAAATACAACAATCTTCATTTGGTTATAAACAAACTATAGATATTGAAACTGAAGCATTTGGATTTCTAATTATCTTTTATTTGCTAGAAGCTAAAATGCTCCTGTCTTTGAGGTAATGTGCAAGGAGATAGAAGAAGAGGAAATGAATTTGAAGCTCATTTCAATAAAGAAGAAAATCAATTTCTCTTTTCATTTTAGGTATTTCTTTTTATACTAAAGCTGATTAAAAACAGTTGTATTGTAGATTTCTTTTAACAAAGGTTCAAATAACAACAGGGTTATATTTATAAAAGGTATAAATACATTATTGACAATATTCAAACATTTGTATTTTCAAGTTTTCAACTGTCATTTACTGGAACAGTTTTTATTAAGAAACCCGTATGGAACTATCAAAGTATATTTATGAGTTCAGTTTGCAATATCTAACTATTCACAAGTTGTGAAGTTCCTAAAAATGAATGCTGTTGGGTCATTTTCTTGTATAATGAGAGTAAATACTGATCTTACAGCAACCATGATCATGCAACATCCTTTTTGAAATGTTGAAAAGACCACAAGATTTGCTTTGCTATATAAGTATGAATACAGTCTTTTCTATATTTATTTCTATTCATTCATATAATTTACAAAATATACTTTCTATTTATGAGAATTGTAGTTATTTAAAAAAAACTAGAGACTTCTAGTCTTTGCATTTATAATTAAAGACAACTTTAAACATGTTTTATACCATTTTTATCAGTTTATATCTTTCTGGTTTAACTCTCCCATTTATTGTTTCTCTTGTATCACGAGCAAACCATCCATATGTTTCATGGCAAACAAACAAGGATTATGTGGTTCCCTTAGTTAACATGCGACGCTCTAATGCTCAACTATCACGGATAAAAACATAATTAATCCATAGAATTATAGCAAAGTTACGATGGACAGATGAGAGTTATTAAAGTTATATAACTTAAATTCAATTTATCGTATAAAGTACCTCAAATCCCGAGGATTTCTCGTATCGAAAGGATTCTAAATTAAAGATGCAAATTAAGAAGAGAAATTTTGAAGAATCGAAACTAGAGAATTCTTAAACGAAAAAAAATTTTGAAACTATTTGCCATGAATGACATTATGTACCTGGGTAGACTCTTGACATAATTTCCTTCTCTCTGGCATCCAACTGACAAACAATTTCAGGATCGTACGTCACTAACAAACAAAATAAATTCGTATTTCCTTGGATGCAAATTGAATTGAGAGTTTGGTTAGGCAAAAAGAAATCTTAAATACTTTTCGGCCACAGAAAACATAAGAAATTTCTAACCTACCAGAACTACTTACCAGGTAGTTCGCTAAATAAATCCTTCATTTCTTGTTGCGTTTTAATTTTAAGTTGTAGACATTTTTTAAGCTTCGACGTTAACGATTTTCCTGACACAAATCATATACAAAAAATTAAAACAATTAAGGCGCAACAAAAAAATAAAAACATTTTCATTGTGTCAACGCATAGTTACACATAAAGCAATGACAATATTCAAGCACCTGCATTGCTAAGATTTCTTCAAGGTAACTGAAGAAGCGCGTCTGTCAAAAGATCTACTCTTCTACTGGCAGGCATCTCCTTATTAATTGCCGAGAACCCACGAAGGTAAGCCCAGAGCCTTTCAATAGCCTCACCATCTGTAAGACCAAAACGATCGAGCCTTCTAGGACTGAATTTGACCTGTTTTTTTGAAGACACTAAAAAATAATATTTTACCTACGGGGACTTTTAATCAAGGAAGAAACCAGAGCAGAAAAGATTGTCTTTCTTCAATCGCTACATCATTACCCAGGGATGTACTTTTCTGGAGGGAGGGGGTGCTCTAGTTTGGATAAGATTCTAGTGGCTGCTTGTTGCCGTAACATGCAAGACATTTTTCGTTAAATTTTGTTACTTATATACAATGATTGGAGATTTTTGAAATTGTGCTCCATAAACCCCAATTACGATCGCTTGATGGTTTGATATACATAAATTTCTTAGGGAAAATGCCACTCCTCGTCCATCTCAACTAATCAAGGTTGGAGGAGAGCACATTCCTCCACTATCCCGCCTCTTAATCCATCCTTCTCATTACCAGGTACAAAGCTTTATTCATTACCTGGCATGAGGCCTTGTGTCCATAACAATGAAATATCGGCACCGAAATTGACACTTTTGACAAAATGTCATGCCTCTTGTTTGCCTAGAACGGTACCAATTTATTCAAAGTTTAGTTGGTGAATGAACTTGTCCCACATCATACATGCCAACATTAAGATACCTTTAAATGTGAGGATAATACACATCCAATATCATACATTATTTTTAAATCAACACACAAGGACTTTGGTCAGCATCTTTTAAAATGCTTTGGATTAGGAACAGCGAATACGAAATTCTGAATACTGACAACTCTAAAATAAGGTGGAGCACATTATAGATTAGCGCATATATAACAATTGTTTCATTACTGTAAAAATAAACATGACAGTTTACACAATCAAGTCATAGACCATGCATAAGAATGATAAATTAAAGGAAAAGAAAAAAATTGGCTGTTTGTAATTTTGATTTTAAATCCACGTAGCTACTTACGTATGTATCAAGGCCCATGGACCTGCATGAAGCATAGACCCACTTTTCTCAGGGGCGAAGCATGCCCAATCTTTTACTCTTACAATGCAAATTTGTCAGCAAAATTGTTAGTAATTTCTTTAGAAAATCAAATCCATTCATTGTTTTTCCAGTGATTAAATACAAAAATATTTGCAATGTAAAAGTAAAAAAATGCTGGCTTTGCCATTGCTTTTATAGTTTGTTTTCAAACTATTCACTATAAACTACAGTGAGTTCATTGTAACTTACAACTTGTAACGAGGAAAAGCCAACTGAAAATTACACAATATATGCCAAAAAGACAATACAATAAAAAAACATGACGAGAAAATATTCAAGCAAAAATTTTTCTTACATCGGAAGGTAAATTTTCAAACGGTGTCAGACAGTGTTTGTCTTTTTTTGTCATTTCAGTGGATTTAAAGATCTGTTTTTCCGAAGAAAAAAGAAACTTGAATATCCAGTTTCATAAAAAATATTGAGTCTATAACTCGCATTTTTACTTTTTACAGAGCGATTGTATTTTTCATCGATTTTGATAGTGCTTGAAATACTAAATGGTTGTCATCTCAGTATCAATAATTGAATATCCTTAAAGACTTTGCATGTTTGTAAATGTAGATCGTCCAGGTTGGTATAGTCCTGAGAAGGACTGTTTTTGTTGTTGTTGATAGACGTTTCGACAATCTTAGCGGCAGTCATCTTCAGAGTCAAAAAAATGACTCTAAGTAGTCATCGCTAAGATTGTCCTTCTCTCTTTGTCCAACAAAAACAGTCCTTCTCAGGACTATACCAACCTAGACGATCTACATTTACAAACATGTAACGATACTCCCGGGTTCAAACCATTTACCGTAAAGACTTTGATATGTTTTAAAGGAAAACCGCAGCGTAAGAGCAGATCGACCAAGTTCACCTCACCTTGCTTCTCGATTTATCACTTTGATTCACTTTCCGTTATTCAAATGTCGAGTTCACTGAGTCACGATCATTGAGCTCTATAAGACCTGGAGGGGCAAAGGGGCCTGGGCCTCGTGGTCAAAAACATGGCGGTAATGGCGGATTTTGGTCATTGAGTTCTATAATAACTGGAGCGGCTATCTTTACTGGGGCGAGGTCGCCAAAATAATGGCGGCCAAAGGACGTATTTCCGCTGAAATGATCGCTTTGCAGAAAAATAATATTCTCGGCCTCCCCCTGGTGTCTATAGTAAATTATAAAAAATTTTTCAAAAACAAACACGATATCACAGAATATGGATATCGTTAGTTCCATATTCTGTGACGATATTTTTTTTGGCATTTCTTTTATAATGCCAACACTTCAATCGTTCAATTGTTGGATGTCGTAGTTTCCACAAAAAGGAACATGTCGCTTCTCACAGGTGAGGTAGTTGTTTGTTTTGTTAGTCCGTCAACGATTGAAAAGCAATTATACATGCACTTGAAAAGTCATAAAAATACATATTAAAGATCGTATTTTTTAAGACTGACTTGAACGCCAAATATACTGATGTTTTCCTGTTTTTGTTTATAAAATTCTGTATACTTTTCTGTCATTTTTTTATGCATGAAATCGTAAATTTACCCATCTATTTGCGAAATAGTTTCCCTAAAGCAAAAAAGACCCTGCACACATTTTGCTCTGTGAGTAAGTATCAAAACGAAATGATCAGCCCCAAGAGTACCCATGATTTGGAGCAGAGCTTGTTATGTTCTATTTGCTGACAACATGCAGGGAAGACCAAGGAGTAAAGATGACTGAAAGATGTTATTGACTAGGCAGAGTCTTAAAAAAATGATAATGCTGTAAAGATAATTGATTTATTGTCTGCCCTATCCAGAGTTATTTAATTTGATCATGGTCAAATTCTATGGATGGAGACAATGGATTCACTAAGGATGCCTTGAATGCTTTGAAGTTAAAGTTCATAAACCAAAGAAAGATGGCAAGAAGGTTGTGTGTGTTTTGATGCTTAATGTAATGTCAATTCACAAACATATAAAATGGGAAAGCCATAAAGTTTGTGTCTATGTAAACATTTGTACTGAGATTGATGATGACTTGATGCAGATGTGAAGCATCAAACTGTATAAGCCATTGGGTTTTACATAACTTAATGTTTAAATGTTTACAAGTCTCCCTTATAGTTCGTCCCACAACAGTATCACTTAAACGGTAACTTGCTGCAATAGTTCTAAAGGCGTCTCCAGTGACCAAATATCTTAAAGTGACGCAAAGCCTTTCTGCAGGTCCAATAGCTTCTCTTCTTGCATGCCAGCGTGTTATTTTTGGTGCAACTAAGGTCAGTAATTCTTCAAACTTGAAAGGAGTCATACGAAACAAACGAAAAAAAATTCTTTGTCATATAGAATAGCTTCTTGAACTAGAGTATAGTATTCTCCTTTTTCTTTCCTTTTTTGTAATATACTCCTTACCCAAAATCTTTTCTTGTATTTATGTTTTCTTAATCTTCGTCTTAAAAGAATTAGCAGAAAAAGTCGTCGTCGATTATTCAGAGCCGCCATGTTTTGCTTAAATTTACCGCCATCTCTGGCAAAAATAATGGAAATAAAATCCAGCGGGCGGCCAACGCTCTCAAAAACAGATTTCGCCCGCGCGGGCGAAGCGACCGTAATGGAAAACCGCCTTAAGTTTAAGTAGCGCGTTTGAGTAAGTGTAGGATTGGCTATTTCCTCTATTGCTAATACATGAATCTAGATGAGTAATGTATGCACGTTATGTACGTCACTACAAGATATCATGTAACTGATGTAAGGTATAAATAAGATTGATGTTCCTATAAAATATATAGCATAGGAATTTTCATCCTTTTATGTTCTACTTCTACATTTGGTATTTTCACGGCACCTGTACAACATGACTGAATGCATTGTGGAATCACTGTTATCCCGCTCATTTGGATTGAGACCTTTTTCCGAGAAACGAGAGATCGTCGAAGGTGGCCGTCCCACTCCTGAGTTGCAAGGACTACATACAACATCAAGCGAAGTGGTAAAGTCTTTATTCAAAGTTTTCAGACGTCAAATTACGAAAGTCTTAACAACAGAGCAATCGTTTCTTTGTTGGATCATTTAAAGCACGAATTGTACAGCCGGAATTTTCCCGAACGAGAGCTGCAATCGTTGCAAGATTCATATGGAACATTCTTTAATCTTCAAGCACTAAAAAGTGAACTAATCGTTGTATACGCATCTGCCGAGCTCAAATCGAAACCTGTTTTTGATATGATATCAAAAATAATCGAACTTGACTTGAAAGCCTGTTTTCCAGAGGTGTACCGATTGTGTCAGCTCATTCTTACTATGCCAAGTACGTCCTCCTCTGCAGAAAGATCATTTTCGGCTCTCAAGCGTATCAAAACGTATCTTCGCAGTACACAAGGGCAAGAGCGACTTTCTGCATTGGCTACAATTTCAATCGAGAAGGAGATGTTTGTAAGTTTGCAGGGGAAGCCACGATTCTATGAGGACGTTATAAAGGAGTTTTGCGCAAAGGAAAGACGGGTGGAATTTACATTTAAGTAAATCTGTTGTAGGATTTTGGACTATTTCGTTCTGTTACTTCTTCACTACAATAGAAATGCACGCCTAGCCATTTACTTCAAACGACTTTATATCACAATACCACATGTAATACTTTTAAACCGTAATTGTAATATATACTCTATAAAAGTTTTTGAATTTTTTAGATTTTTTCAATACTGTTTCAGTCATGACAGATACATTTTTTTCGACAAAGTACTTCAAAATCCAAAAATTTTCTGGGGGAGCATGCCCCCATACCCCCTAGATAGGTTCTCGGCAAGCCGCGAGCCTCAACCCCGGCGCTTGCCTATTAAATTAGGTCACCGCACGCCACTGTAAGGTTGTCGAAACGTCAGTCAACAACA